CGTCGAGTCGGCCCCGACTCATAGCGACCCCTCCTTGGGTTTCCGAGGCAGTATCACTACGGAAGTAGGATTGCCCAACCTTTCCTTCTGAGGAGTGGCTGGTGGGTTTGACCCACCAGCCTTCTGGTTAGCAGTCAAGTGCTTTAGCCACTATGCTACCTATAGAAGTGCTAAAAACAAGAAGTTATAATTAGCAGGTCAAACATTTTAATGAATTTCAGGGAGCTGGAAAGTAATGGGATCTTACAGGAGATAACCCTGAGTGGAGAAAACTGCAGCTCAGATCTGTGAAGGGAGATGCTGCGCTGCAAATGCAGCACTTTTTTCTGACAAAATGCCGTCATACTCCAAGCTCAGAGTCAGAGAAAACAAAGAGCAGGTGTGGACTGCAGTTAACTGTGGCTAATCAACTACAGGCATAATTATAGGTCAGGCTACTCAACAGCTATTCCTGGAACACCAACAAACTTATCCCACTCCCACACTACTCCCACCCCTGCCGTGTATACACACACACACACACACACACACATACACACACATACAGAGCAGCTGGCTGAAAGAAACCCTTAGCTGGACTCTCAAGATCAGTTCTTTAAATGGAATGGTGTTATTTGTCAAGGAAGGCTGGAGAGTGTGGGAGTTTTATCTATGGAGATGGTTAATAACTGCAATAGTGCAATCAGAAGGAAAGAATCCAATGTTTTACCCGGAATGAAAGAAACTAATGTCCATCCATTCCCAAAAGTAAAGTTTTTGGAAATTTCAAAATGAGCTTGCCTTTTCCCTGCCACTTGTCCTAAAGGGAAGTTGACCTGTGTGTGAGATTCAACAACTTACACAAATCTAGTAATCAATTCTCTTATTCTCAGGAGAGATCTTATGGTTAAAAAGACCTCAACTGCACAGAAGACCCATGCCACTACTTAATACAGTCCTTCACTTAAGGATTACCAGACACTGAGGAAAATCAAAACCATGGGGGGGAGGGGGAGTAAAATGTATAATAACTGACCCTGGAGAAAGATAGAGATAATGGTGGGGGTGGGGGTATCCTCAGATTTAAAAGTCTCCTGGATCTTCTAAGAAAAGACTGTTTTGAAAAAGAAGTAAATAAGAAGAGTTGGATTAGAGGTAATTGTTAAGTTTCTTCTTTACCTGTACATGTATATTCACAGTGTCCTATAATAAATATTCATAATACTTACTAACTTTTTAATTTTTAGATATTAATAAAATTTCCCTTTCCATAAAATGTTTACTGCTGCCTAAACTCTGGTGGTACAGTGCCTAAGGCATTTGACTGCTAACCAGAAGGCTGGTGGTTCAAACCCACCAGCCACTCCTCGGAAAGAAGATTGGGCAATCTACTTCTGTAGTGATACCGCCCCGGAAACCCAAGGAGGGGTTGCTATGAGTCAGAGCCGACTCAACGACAGTGAGTTTGGTTTTCTTTTGGAAGCTATAATAGCAATGATTAGACATAACACTCAACGGGAAACTGGATATGCATTATGCAATCTCCAAATGAAAGCCAAAACATAGACAGGAATATGTTAGGGCCAATAGAATTTTATTCTCCACTCTACCAAAGGTTTTTAGATTCTTACCAGCTCCAATGCCCTGAGGACAAATTGAGTGCTAAACAGTTTAGATACACAGCAATACACCAGATTAACCCAATCTGGCCTTTAAAAAAAAACAAAAAACGGACTAATTCCAATGCTTAAAGCTAATCCAGAGGAGGGCCTGACAGAACATAGAGGCACTGGAATAAATCCATGCCTAGGAAAAGGTTATGAAATTATCCCAACCACCTGGCTCAGATTTTCTGGGAAATCTTCAAAATGAAACTAATCTGTACAATAAAGCCAAAAGATAAGGCACCGTCTGTCCCAACTTTTTTAAGTATACTACTTACAGTACATTAAACTTTATACTAAAGAACTCAATGTCTTGAAAGAGTTAACAGTTGTATCTTTGTTGTTGTTGTTGTTATGTGCCATCGAGTCGGCCCCGACTCATAGCGACCCCTCCTTGGGTTTCCGAGGCAGTATCACTACGGAAGTAGGATTGCCTAGAAGTACTTAAATGGCATCTAGAGAGAACCTAATGCCAAGTTTTTCTGTAGCTTTTAAACAAAAGAAACTTGTTAACAAGAATAATGTTTTTATAAATCACTAGAAGTCTTGTCGGCATGTATCATATCACAGAGCTGGAGAGCTGTAAGTTGAATATTCTCCACATATGCACAAGTACACAATACCTATGCATCAAGCTGCAATTAGCTGCTGACATTGGGCAAAACTATAAATCTAACCAAGTTTGTTCAGAGTTCCAGAGTCTTCTTTCTGTAGTTTTGCCCCTACAATGCTAATGCTTTTCCTCCTGCTCACATTCCAGTTGTCTATCATCTTTATGTCTTTCTTCACAGCCAATAAGCCAAAAAGAACCACAGAGGTAATCTATGAATGACTTCATTTTAGAAACAAGTAAACTGAGGCCAGAGAGTTAAAGTGATTTACTCAAAGTTCTGAGACCAGAACTAGGCCTCTGATGCCCTGTGCAAAGCTCTTTTCCTCTATACTGACTCTTAAAAACTGCCAAAGATCTGATATGTATGTATGCCTTCATAGCCCTCAAGGAGCTCTGGTGGTGCAGTGGTCAAAACATTCAACTGCTAACCAAAAGTTCAGCGGTTCGAACCCACCAGCTGCCTCGCAGGAGAAAGATATGGTTGTCTGCTTCCCTAAAGATTTACAGCCTTGGAAACCCTGTGGGGCAGTTGTACCTTGTCCTATAGGGTGGCTATGAGTCATTGACTATGAATTAGAATCAACTCAATGGCAGTGGTTTGGTTTGGTTTCACAGCCCTCAATCTCTCTTCTCTGTGCCTTTTCCTTCTTGGTGCAACAATTCCTCAACTTTCACTCACCAATAAACTTCTTTCTTATTAATTCTATGCCCATTTAAAAAAAAAAAAACAGCAAAGGATCCAGTATATATTTACTGATATCATTTTTATTGTTTTTAATTTTTTTCTTTTAAAATAAAAAAATACCTTCACACTTCCCAAATCAAAATAGTATAAAGCTGAAAAAATTATATCCACAATTTCAATTCAGAAAAAAACTAAATGTCAGATTCTTATTTTTCATAAAGCAATGCTGCAGCATTTGTTTCATTTCCTTAAAATAAAAGCCAGAAAGTTCATATCAATACCATTTTAATACTCACCACGTAAGTGATTTGATTGTGTCGCAAGTTCAGTTCAGTTAGTGAATCCAGTCCATTAAGATTATCAACATGACTTAAAACATTCCTGGCAAGGTTTAAAACTCTCAAATCACACAAATGATTGACATTTTCGATTTTTGTGATCTGTTAAAAAATGGGAAGGGGTTAATAGCAGGCATAAATTTCAGATATGCATGTTCTAAAAACCCTAAAAATGAAATATTCAAAGTCATTGGATTCAGTGACAAGTTTATATGAGGACATTTAAAAATCTATTTCCAACTTTCTCTGTTTTGGATCATATGATATCATCTAACTTATGAAAATTAACTAGAGGAACATATTTTTTAATTTGACCATGGTAAATATTTGAAGTTTTATCAAATAACCTACTAAATCCATCATTTGGGCACCTCCTAAGTACCAAACATTGTGCTTGGCCCCATGAAAACTATCAAAAGTGTACATATTACCTGCCAAATAGAAACAGACTATGAGCCCAAGGCATAAACTCACAATGCTTTGACCAAGTAAGTCTATACTCTGAGAGAAAAGTAAAGAAAAAGGAACGATAAGGAAGTTCTTGTTAATTCTACTTATGCTTCAGGGTCCTAAGAGTAGAAAAGCATCTGAATGGGAAGACTTAATACATATTCTTTCATTAGTGGAACTGCTTCAGAGGAAATGGATAGTATTTAGTCAGAGTGTAACAAGGTAGAGACTACTGTTTAGAACAAGAGGAGTTGAATTATGAAATATGTACATACACATGAACACTGAATTGAGGAGTTTGAATGCATAAGAAGGTAAGTGTAAATAAAAGTTGTAACACTATGACGTGAAGAGAGTCTGATGTGATTTTAAGCCCCACCAATTGTAATATAGCAAGATAGCAAAATGGGATGAGTTTCTCTATGACACAAAAGTAAAAGTCTGTAGAGGACTTCCAAAGTCTTAATGCAAAGTACTTAAGTAACAATTGAGTCCCAGAAATGAAATTTTCTTCTGAACATTAAAAAACAGACTTTCACAAACACTATGGATTAATCAAGGAGCCCTGGTGAAGCAGTGGTTAAGCACTCGGCTGTTAAACTAAAAGTTGGTGGTTCAACCTACCAGCAGCTCCACAGAAGAAACAAGTGGCAGTTTACTTCAGACAAGATTTACACAGCCTTGGAAACCTTATGGGGGCAGTTCTAGTCTGTCTTATAAGGTCACTAGGAATCAGAATGGACACAATGGCACACAACAACAATAAAGCTTAATTAGTTCACATATATTGCCATCACAGTATTAATTGAATTTTTTCGTTTTATAAAATATTTGACTTATTAAAACTAACTTAATGCCATAAGAGATTTAACATTTCCAAACAGATGTTGGCTATAAGAACCTTTTGTTAGCTATACAATCCTGCTCCTGGCTGTTATCTGAACCTTCTCTTATATTCAGGAAATACCATCTAGATTCGTAAGGAGAAACCTAAATATGTATACTGTAAATTAGTAATATATAACCGTAACTGAGGGGCTCTGGTGGCACAGTGGTTAAAGCATTCAGCTGCTAACCAAAAGGTCAGCAGTCTGAACCCATCAGCTGCTCCATGGGAAAAAAATCTTCTGTAAAGATTTACAGTCTTAGAAACTCCACAGGGCAGTTCTACTCTGTCTTACAGCATCACTGTGCCATTGGAACCGACTTGATGGCAGTGGTTTGGTTCTGATTTTATAACCATAACTGAACATGTTTTAAAATTTATTCTAAAATTTTTGGTCTAACTAATACAAAATGAAAATAAATGATACAAAAATTGGAAAATAAGTAACAGTTTATCAGTATTTGCAGATTGACAGAACTATACTGTAAGACATGGAGAGAAATATTGCAAAAATAAATAGGTGGTAGAAATTTAAGCATATGGAATCAGTAAACAGAAAAATAGATAATACAGAAAATGAAATCAGTAATTTCAGCACAGCTTGAGAAATCCTCCTGAAATACTAGGGAAAAACAATGATGGGAAGAATTTAAAAAATAAGATGAAGATAGAGAAGACAAATAATATAGATATAACAAACAAAAATATAAGGGAAACCATATTTAAATATATAAAGAGAATTTTCCTGAGTTCAAGATATAAATATACGTATTGAACGGGCATAACTGTTGTATGGCCTACCTAGAACGCCTTCCACCTTCTGGGCATTTATCTTAGATAACTAAGTCTAGTTACAGGTAGTCCTTGTGAAACTTACAACTAGAATTCCCACATTATATAATGACCTTTTAGTTTCTCAAGTCTGAAAGGAAACACTATTTTTTTTGTAATATATAGGTATTAATCTGTAATTAAAAAACAAAAAAATCACTGTGGATATTGTCCTTGCTTTTGGTTTGCAATCATAGATCATAGTCAGGTACAACATCTCTGATGGATTAGTCTGTTACTGGATGCAGTTGTGGACAAAGTCACAATCATAAATCAGATAACAGAAGATTTAGGCAAAGGACTGTGTAAGGTGAGATCACGGTTCCTACTTGATTGATAAACTTTACAGCAAGAAGATGAGATGATGGGAATGTTATAAAGTCCAATTATGGATCATGCTGATTAGAGAGAAGGTCCCAGGATAGACTGCAGAGCTTTTTAATACATCCAAGGAAGGTGAATACTCCAGTCTTATCTTTGTGTATAAGAGTAACCCAGACTGGTATGCCTGGGTAAAGATAACCTCCCTACTCAGCAGTACTGAAAGGACAAATGTCTTCTTTCAGGCAAGCAATCACATAAAAGGTAAGCTCTCTCTAAATGAAAAAATGTCACTAAAGGAACAGGTTCTTGATGCATATCTGTGTCCATGTTAAGGAAAGCATTTACTAAAACAAATTCTGCTAGACCAACACAAAATCTAGCTCAGAAATTGAGAGTAACCCCCATATTTCTCATTAGTCACATATAATCAATTGCTAACCCTTATTGTTTCTACTTTAAAAATATTTATCTAATCTCTCACCAGGATTATAAAATTAGTCTCTCAATTGTTTTCTGTCTCCAATTTTATCTCCCTCCATCTCTTTCCATTCCCTAATCCATTTCCTAAATACTATCATCATTCCTCAAAATATTTTTATATCCATAAAACAATTATGTTTTATTTCATAATGTGCACCAAGTATCAGAATATTTTTATTTCAAATTTTAAATTCAAAAGGTAAATAACATTGACTTAATTTTCTTTTAATTTACTACCTGATGCTAATTTTTTAGAGTTGGACATTAATCGTTTCATGTTGAACAGATTATCTCCTGACATTTTAGAAATGTAAGGTCATCTAAGACTGTTGTGTTCAAATACCAAACACTAGATGAAAACATAGAGGATAATGGCTTTTTTAAATTAAAAAACAGTAATACTGAATGTAAAAATGGCATGGGGCAGCAACTGACCTCCTCTAACCTTATAAGGAGGGGAGAGGATTAAGATCAATAGCCTAAGGCTGATTCCTATTCTACCTTCCAGCCTTTTTACCAATTCTGACAGTTACTGTCCCTCCCACAGCACTCTCTTCTTCTCTGCTGGGTTCAATAATCCTTTGCAATGACCACACAAAACTCACAGATAATACTCATAATTATAGGGTAGATTAGGGAAATAACAAGTTACAATTCAGGATCTGGAATGCTCAGTATACAATTCTTCAGTCAGGACAGGCTCCCCTCAGCCATGCCCAAAGGCAGGTCTCTCTCTGACCCTCAGCCTCTTGGCCTGGATTCTGCCCTGCTCAGGCAAGTGTTGCAAAGTTCTTTTAGTTCTTCTGATAAATGCCTGCAGGCACTCCACTCCACCAGTAAGCCCCAGCCTGGAGGCACTCAGCTTTCTCACTCTAAGAGCTGAGAAGTTCACTGCTCTGTCTCACTTGATCTCTTGGTTTTACTATCCCTGCTGCCCCTGTATCTCTACTGCTACTTCTCATTGTCTCTTATATGACAGCTCTCTGACTCCTGGATTGAGGAGGTTCAGCACTGGTTCTTGGGTCCAAAGGATACACTCCACTTCTGGCTCTTCTTTCTTGATGGTAGTAAGATTCCCCTTTTCACCTCTAGGATGGCTCATTTTAAGCCTAGTAAGATGGCAAAACTGACCAATGCCCATGACAGGGTTTCATATACCTTATTTGCATGGTCTCACACCTACAAAGGCCATGTACCTTATTTATACTATTAACAAACTATCCAACCCCCTTGGTAGGCCAAAGCAATTCACATTTGCACACTACTACCCAGTCATCTGGTGGGAGTCACAAAGACTATGGCTACCTGGGCCACGTGAAGCAATTCACTGTACCACACTAAATGATCTATTATTTAGACACACATGTATTGTTGTTAGCTGCTGTCAAGCTGACTCTGACACATGACAGTCTTCTGTACAACAGAACAAATGTTGCCTGGTCCTATACCATGCTCACAATTGCTGGCATGTCTGAGTCCATCATTGTGGCTACTGTGCCAATTCATCTCACCAAGGGTCTCCCATGACCTTGTTGGCTCTCTACTTTACCAAACATCATGTCCTCCTCTAATGATTGATCCTTCCTAATGACGTTTCCAAAGAAAAAGAGTCAGATAATGTGTTCTCTTGTGATCCGTAACACTTCCATTTGCTACTTTTTGGAAGCAGATGGCCAGGCCTTTATTCCTAGTTCCTAGTCTAGAAACATTAATGAAACCTATTCACCATGGTTGATCTTGTTGGTATTTGATATACCAGTGGCATAGCTTCCAGACTCATAGCAATATGCAAGCCACCAAAGTATGACAATCTGACAGATGGATGATGTAGAAACACATATATATGTGGTTAAACACACACCACACACACACACACACACACACACAAAGGAATGATCAATACGAAATCCAGAAGAGTGGTTATCTCTGATGAGAAAGTAGGGAGATAGAATAAAGGAGGAGAATCTAAGTAGGTTGGGGTTGGATAATGTCTATTTATAAAATAAGTTAATAAAAGGCCAAATAAAAAATGAAATTGTTATACCTATGAGAATTACAAATCTAAGTTGTCATTTACTGCTCAGGAGTTACTAAATTTTCTGTATCTAGCATTAATACCTTAGAAGTACCAGTGAATTGGTAAAATAACTCTTAAAAAATTAAACATAAATATAATTCCTAAAATTTTTTAAATACTAAATTTCATGGACTATTTTTCAAAAAGAAAGAATGAAAGGGTTTCACAATACCTGATTTCCATGAAGGTCCAAGACGTCTAAGCTTTTTAGATTCTCCAGATTTGAAATTTTTCTAATTCTGAAAATCAGAACAAATAGAATAAGCAGAGTAGAAATATGGATATATCACATCTACCTGTAAATCAAAACACGCTATCATGTAACTCATTTGAACATTGGCTCATTTTATATATTTCTTAAAACAAAAACATATTTCCCATTGACTGAATTGTAATTTGGAAGATATAGTTCCCCTGAGTGGAAAATATCCCATTGATAGCATAAAAGTCTTATATTTTTAAAAAAGCAATTCTATCAATAAGACTTAGAAGTTGATTCTCTGAAAGAATGAATAAAATCAACAAGCCACTCACTGGACAAACTGACAAAGAAAAAGAATGAGAAGATGTAAATAACCAAAATAAGAAATGAGATGGATGACATCACTACAGAATCAACAGCAATAAAAAGGTTCATAAAAAAATATTATGAAGACAAATAATCCAACTGACAAATAGGCAAAGGACATGAACAGACACTTCACCAAAGAAGACATTTAGTCAGCAAACAAGCACATGAAGAAATGCTCATGATCATTAGCCATTAAAGAGATACAAACAAAAACAACAATGAGAAATCATCTCACCCCAGCACTAATAGCAAAGTTAAAAAAAAAAAACAGAAAACAATGATGGCAAGGTATAAAAAGCATGGGACACTCATATACTGCTGGTGGGACTGTAAAATGGTACAACCAATGTGGAAAATGGTATGATGCTTCCTTGGAATAAGAAATACCCTGTTGCTGTTGTTGTTATTTGCCGTTGAGTCGGCCCCGACTCATAGCAACCCCTCCTTGGGTTTCCAAGGCAGTATCACTACGGAAGTAGGATTGCCCAACCTTCCTTCCGAGGAGTGGCCAGTGGGTTTGAACAGTCAGGTTAGCAGTCAAGGGCCTTAGGCACTATGCTACCAGAGCTCCCAGAAATACCCTATGATCCAGAAATCCCATGACTAGGTAAATATCCTAGAGAAATCAGAGCCATAACATGAACAGATATATTCACACCCGTGTTAATCACAACATTATTCATAGTAGCAGAAAGATGGAAACAACCTAAGTGCCCACCAATGAATGAATGGATAAACAAACTATTGTACCTACACACAATGGAATTCTAGGCAATGCTAAAGAATAGTGATGAATCAGTGAAATACCTCTTAGCATGGATGCACCTAGAGGGCATTATGCTGAGTGAAATTAGTCAATTACAAAAGGACAAATATTATATGAGACCACTACTACTGTAAAAAGTCAAGAAGAGGTTTACACACACAAAAAAAGGGTATTATGAAAAATGATACTCCAACAAATTTGAAAACCTAGAAGAAATGGACAAATTTCTAGAAAACACACTACCTACCTAAACTAGCACAAACTGAAATGAAAAATCTGAACAGGCCCAGAGCAAAAGAAGAAATTGAAGAAGTCATTAAAAAAAAAAAAAACTCCCAATAAGAAAAAGCTCTGGCCCCGACAGCTTCACTGGAGAAGTCTACCAAATACTCAGAGAAGAGCTGACATCAGTTCTATTCAAACTATTCCACTATTACAGAATAAATACATAGGTAAATATGTATGCTAGAAAAGGAAAGAATAGCCCCAAATTCATTCTAAGAAGCCAGCATAACCCTGATATGAAAGCCAAGCAAAGACACCATTAAAAAAATAAAATTATAAACCAATATCCCTCATGAATATAGATGTAAAAATTCTTAACAAAATTTAGCCAATAGAATTTAACAGCATATCAAAAAATAATACATCATGACCAAGTGGAATTCTTACCAGGTATAAAAGGATGGCTCAATATTAGAAAATCAACATAATCCATCACATAAATAAAACAAAGGGGAAGAATCATATGATCATCTCAATTGATGAAGAAAAGGTATTTGATAAAATCCAACATCCTTTCCTCCTACAAACTCTCAGCAAAATAGGAAGAAAAGAGAAATTCCTCAACATAATGAAGGGCATATGCACAAAACCAACAGCCAATATTATCCTCAATGGAGAGAGACTGAATGCATTCTCCTTGAGAATAGAAACCAGACAAGGTTTCCTCTATCACCACTCTTATTCAATATTGTACTGGAAGTCCTAGCTAGAGCAATAAGGCAAAAAAAGAGAAATAAAGGGCATCCAGATTGGTAAGGAAAAAGTAAAACTACTCCTATCTGCAGATGATATGAACTAACATAGAAAACCCCAGATATTCCTCAAGAAAGCTACTAGAACTCAAAGAAGGATTCAGCAAAGTGGCAGAGTGCAAGAGCAACATACAAAAATAAGTTGGATTCCTCTACACTAAAAAAGAGGTCTTTGAAAAGGATATCAGGAAAATAACACCTTTTACAATAGCCTCTAAAAAGATGAAATACTTAGGAATAAACCTAACCAGAGATACAAAAGACTTATACACAGAAAGCTACAAAACACTACTGTAAGAAACCAAAGGAGACCTACATAAATGAAAAAACATACCATGCTCATGGATAGGAAGACTTAACATTGTGAAAATCTCAGGAGTACCCAAAGTGATCTATAGATATAGTGCAATCCTGATCAAAATTCCAATAACATTTTTTAAGAAGCTGGAAAAACTAACCACCAACATTATGTTGAAACAAAAAAGACCTTAGGGAGATAAAGCATTATTGAAGAAGAACAAAGTAGGAGGCCTCACACTTCTTGATCGTATAACCTACTACACAGCCATAGTCATCAAAACAGCCTGGTAGTGGTATAATGACAGACACATAAATCAATGGAACAGAATTGAGAACTCAGAAGTAAATCCATCTACCTATGGACAACTGATCTTCAACAAAGGACCAACATCCATTAAGGGGAAGGAGGGTTTCTTTAACAAATAGTATTGGCAAAATTGGACATTCGTTTGCAGAGAAATGAAACAGGACATATATCTCACAGCCTTCACAAAAATGAACTCAAGATGGATCAAAGACCTAAATGTAAAACCTAAAACCATAAAGCTCATGAAGAAAAAATAGGAACAAAACTAGGGGCCATTATTGATGGCACAAATAGACTATCAAACATAACTAAAAATGCACAAACAAGAAAATGTAAACTTGATTAATGGAATCTCCTACAAATAACTATTTATGCTCATCAAATGACCACTAAAAGGGTAAAAACGTACCTACAGACTGGAAAAAAAAAGTTGGTAATGAACTATCTAACAAGAGTTGTTGTTGTTGTTATGTACCATCAAGAGTAGAATCTCTAAAATTTATTTTCAAAACTTCAACACCACAATAACAAAAAGACAAACAATCCAATTTGAAAAATAGGCAAAGGATGTGAACACACACTTCACCAAAGAAGGCATTCAAGCAGCTAAGAAACACATGAAAAGATGCTTGCTATCATTAGCTATTAAATAGATGCTTATCAAAACTACCATAAGATATCATCTCACCCTGGAAATAATAGCATTGATCAAGAAAACACAGAACAATAAATGCAGGCTAGGCTGTGGGGAGATTAGAACTCTTATACACTACTGGTGTGACTGAAAAATGGTACAACCACTAAGGAAACAGTATGATGCTTCCTCAAAAAGCTAGAAATAGAAATACCATATGATCCAAAATATTACTCCCGGGCATACATCCTAGAGAAATAAGAGTTGTGATCTGAAAAGACATATGCACACCCATGTTTATTGCAGCATTATTCACAATAGCAAAAATATGGAAACAACCTCAGTGTCCATCGACGGATGAATGGATAAACAACTGTGGTACATATGTAAAATGGAATACTATACCATAAAGAATGATGATGAATCTGTGAAACATCTCACAACATGGATCAATCTGGAGGACATTATGTTGAGTGCAATAAGTCAATCATGAAAAGACAAATACTGCATGAGACCACTATTATAAAAAGTTAAACATGAATTATAGCAGCAGTAGCACAAGAATTTTAACTGTCCTGGGATCTGGCTACTGCTGCACATGGTATCAAGTATCTTTCTGTGTCTTCCCAGATATATCATTTGGTTTTCTAATAAAATTTTCTAAAATAAATAAATAAAATGTCTTTGAAAAAAAAACAAAACAGGTTAAGAATAGGTTTATACACAAGAAACATTCCTTGATGGTTACCAAGAAAAGGAGGTGAGGGAGGGAAAATCACTAACTAGATAATTATTGTTGTTGTTATGTGTCATCGAGTCATCGCTGACTCACAGTGACCCCTCCCTGGGTTTCTGAGCCTGGTGGGTTTGAACTTCCAACCTTCTCATTAGCAGTCAAGTGCCTTAGACACTATGCCACCAGAGCTCCCACAGAAGTGTTAATTATGATGAAGGGAAAGGCAATACACAATATGGGGAAAGTCAGCACGATGTAAGCAAGGCAAAGAAAGACACTGAGAGGTATGCAAAAATAAAGGACAATTTTATAGTAAATGCTATAACATATATAATTGTGGTATTTAAGGTTGTGTGTCAACTTGTCTGGGCCTGGTTGAGTGATTGGGCAGCTGGTGGTAGTTACTCCCCATGAAGAGACTGGCAATCAATTCCATGGTGGGATCTACCTCAAGCAGCTGAGTAGCTGCTTTAGGGATGTGGTCTGCTTCCTGTATAATGAAGTAGCTTTGAACATGGTCTCTAGCTTATGCAACACTTGAACCCTGCATGTAGCCAAGTCATTGTTCAGCAGCCTGCCATGCTCTGTCAATCTTCGGACTTTTAATGAACTTGAATTAATGGCCTGCCATGTGGTTTGGTAATATCGGAATTGTGCCTTATTACTTGTCAACCTTGGGTTTGTCAGCTTCAGCAGCCAGCAGCTGAGTGAAGAAAAGACTAGCTTCAGTGGACCAGAAGCAGGAGGCAGAGCTGAAGCCCAAGGTTGATAGGCTTTCACCTAGTCCCTGGAGCCTGGCACTTTGAACTTGGACTTAAAGCCTCCAAATTGTAAGAATAAACTCCTGTTTGTTAAAGCCACCCCATTTGTGGTGTATTCTTGTCAGAG